TAGTTGCTACCGCAACTCTGATAATAGAACATAAATTCATCCATTCCTGTGCTAAGGTATGTTTTCAATATTAATGCTTACGAGTAAAATGGACGTTTGTTTTCTAGCAAAATCAACTTTGAGTTTCCATTAAACATACCTGTTTTCCCACTGCTTTTTTTTTGTAAAAATGAGAAAGCTATATATTGCCTGGAATAAAGTTTTGCTTCTTAGAAATCACTTAAGTCATTTTCTCATTGTCTTCTGAGAGTCATAAGGAAGAAAATTATTAACAATATGGATTGTTTGCTAGAAATTGTTCTGTAAGGTGTTAGAATTGGAATAGACATAGAGAAACCAAGTCAGCATCATGGAATTTAGCAGTAATGTTTGGAATCTCTAATGCTAATGTTTTTCAAAAACAGTACTTTGAATATACTGCATGAACACAAATTCCCATCAGTTTCCAAGTGGTAAAGGGCTCAGAAGACTATGTGGTTCTAATTGTGACACTTCTAATGCCTGTAGAGTCCCTTCACTCCTCATGACTCACACGACACAGTAAAGAAAACCTAGGTGATCCAGTTAGATATGATAGAAACAGTTGGAATGTATTCTGTGAGGTGTGCATTTTGGTGTGGTTTCTGTACTAGGAGTTAATGAATTGTATTTGGATGTCTGAAATAAACTGCTATAAAACAAGTAGGATGATGGATATAGTACATTCATGACAGGATTACATTTCGGTGATGTGGATCCAGAGATTTGCTTTAAAATAAAGGAGTGGGAAGGTTTAGGATATGGACAAAACAAGATTAGGCCACAAGTTGATTCATTGTATTATTTCCTCTATAAGAATTAAATAAAAACATTTTGCACTTTGCAAAGTTCATGTTTACAAAACATTTATTTTCAACACTGAATTCTTACTGTAACTTGATTTAGCTAAAAACAAAACTATATTCTTAGTCCTTTCAAAATTTGTTAATATTTTCAGAGAGGAAGAGTAGAAGATGTTGTTGTTAGTGACGAATGCAGAGGAAAGCAGCTTGGCAAACTGTAAGTAGGCAAAAACCAGGTAACCCTGGATAAATTAGATATTTGTTGTATTTCAGTTTCAGTTTATAGTTTCTTACCAAGATACTTGTTAAAAAATGTTTTCCTGTTTGAAGTTCTTTTTAGGCATCATTAATTATGAACCCATTCTCACTCCATAATTGAGACTGAATTTAATGAAGAAATAAAGTATTCTTATATAACTTTTACCATTAGGTTTGGAAATTGGAAGTGTACTGCTAAAACTGTAACACCTTAAAGTTATTAACTTGTTATAGCAGTACTCTCATAGTAGTAGGGAACAGAAGCTTCTGGGGAGTCAAATCATCTGTCCATTTCTGTCATATTTAAAAACAAAGGAAATGTGCTCAGTCATGTAAGTTTTAGAACCATATACTGAAACAGCTAAGTAACCTTCAGTGAATAATCCTCTGTACATTTATCTAAATCTTTTAAAGTAAGTATAAATAAGTTTCATAGGTTTATTGCCTACTTTATAAAATAGAACTTGCTCTTTCATATTACCTCTTCTGAGTTTTAAGGAATTCACTCAGTAAGTATTAAGCATCTGCTATGTGCCAGATACTATTCAAGGTATTTGGGACACATCAGTAAACAAGATACACCAATTTCTTGTCCACTTTACTTAGTCATACCTTTTATAACTGTATAATTTCAGTCAAGATGTTCTGTCTTCAGAATAAAATTTTTTAATCTATGCAACATGAGAAAACTGTTCAAGTAAATTTTTATAGCTCTTTTCTACTTGTTATTCCTAAGGCAGTCAGAATCACATCCTTATACTGGGTTTGGATTCTTTAAGGATTTGTAAATATTTATACTTTTTTGCTTTGTTTCTACTTAGATTAGACCAATCCAAAGTTAATCTGATATATTCTTTAACAAATATTAAGGACCTTTAAAAATGATAAACAATGCAATTATTTTCCCAGCTTAGGTGGAAATGCTGACATATTCCTAAGAAGCTTGAATAGATTTAGAAAAGATTAATTATGGTCATTTTTTTTAAAAGGTTGCCAGTCTTTGGTATTAAAATTAATCTTAAAACTTATTTTTAAAGAGGGCTCAGGGTGAGTTTAGTATTTGTCCTATTTATTAATGGGCTGGAGAATACTAGATAAAGTATATTGGAAGCAAAATAAAATGCTCTGGATGATATAAATGCTTATCCACTTGTAATTTTGAATATTTAAGTGAATATAGTAGGAAAGGTCATGACCTAAACCTATTTCTGATATAAACTTGAAGTTCTATATAATATTCATTCACATTGTTACTATGCCTCCCCCTTCCTTTTTTCTTTTTAATTTCAGGTTATTATCAACCCTTACTTTGCTAAGCAAGAAACTGAACTGTTATAAGATTACCCTTGAATGTCTACCACAAAATGTTGGTTTCTATAAAAAGTTTGGATATACAGTATCTGAAGAAAACTACATGTGTCGGAGGTTTCTAAAGTAAAACTCTCTTAAGAAAGACATTTGTTAAAGGAGCTAATGCAACAAGGCTATACTCTTCCTAGAGTTAAAATATTTTGTTGCTGCAACCCAGTGACCTCCATAAATACTGGATTGAAAAAAATATTGTAATACAAGTATAATGACATTTAGAAGATTACTTTGGGCTGGTGGGACATGCTGTGAGTTTAGATTACAAATGAATATTATAAAAGGGATGATTTTTAACCAAAGGAATATATTTTTAACTTGAATCTTTTCTTGCATTGTATTTTTCTAAAGTTTGGCTTCATTTCTTAGTCAGAGTATAGGTAGTAAGGAGTTATGTGTCTGCTATCTGTACTGATCATCTGAAAAAAAAAGCATACAATAAATAAGGCTGTTTCTTATCACATTCATAAAATTAATATTTTTGTTTCAAAGAAATATATCTAAATATTACTTAGGAGTGTATCATTTCACATATATTACGTGAAATTGAATATTAGATATAGTGTAACTAAACGTAGTGCAATTCAACATTTGTTGATCCTAATACTATATTGGCAAACAACCTGGTCAGCCTTTGAAAGAAGTGGAAATGAAAATTAACTTATAAAACGTGGCAACTTAAATGTACATCTAAAAGTTGATATAATTCTAACGTCAGTAAAGTACCACCTGTCTTATATGTGACATAAAATAATTATTCATTTGTTTAGAAATAGAAGGTACTTTTTAACAGTGAATTAGTAAATCCTGGCATATTATGTATTTCTAACCTGATTTCTCATCTTTCCATGGGTGTCTGAAGCCTCTCTTCTGAGTAACATTTTTATGAAAAATAGATTACAAAATTGGTGGAATATTAAAAAATGTATCATGTTGCATTTGTTACATTCTTAAAATGTTGATGGAATCTTTTCTATTTGATGTGATTATAATAGTATAATTCTGGTCACTATCCTGTTTTGATTTTATTTATTTTAATTATTTTTTTAAGTTGAAATAAGACTCAGATACTTTATTAATGGTTCTACTCTTTTGCATTCCATGTTACATTAAACCTGTTCATATGATGAATAGTCTTTTGTTAGAATCCTAATGTCTGTGCTTTTCTTGAATCTTCTATTGAACTATTAGGTCACATCATGATTCATAAAGTTTTAGTTTTGTGTACTCTTTGTAAAAGGAGCTTAGAAAGTAAAGACTACCTGTTTCTCACTTTTGACTCACTCTACCTCAACTAGATTTCGTATTTCCCGGCAGCTGAAGTTGGCTTTCTGAAACCACAGAAATTCTTCACCAATAGAGGGTGCACTACTTACCTGCTGATGACCTAGGCAGATGAACTGATCTGTCCCTAGAGAAAGCAGCAAAGCTGGTTTTGCTTTTCCAGAAGCCCTAAAACCTTCCTATGACAGTAGCTTCATTAGGTACATTCTGGTAACCAAAAATCCACGTTAAAAAAATAAACCTATAAAAGGCAAAATTAAATACTTTATTACATTTCTTACCACTGACTAATCTGAAGTAAAACTACCTACGAGGTTGGTATTTCAATAAATCCCTTTATATGGTGTTCTTAAGGTCTTACTTAAATCTCTTCTATAGGAAATAGCATTGTAAGTAAGGTACAGTACATAAAAATCGTGTCACTGAGGAAACTGATGATCTGTATTTAGCTTTAGTTAACCAGAGTAGTTTGATTTTTCTAAACCATGCTGTGGGTAAACTTGAGTATGAAAAAAACATGAAACATTTCAATACATTTTTGAGCAGTTTGCTTTTGAAAAGGTATAATGAAGTCGCACTTGTAACTTTTTTATTTTGCTCCATTTTTTGGAGGGGGAGGTAATTAGGCTCATTTATTATTACTTTTGTTTTTATTTAATGGAGGTACTGGGGATCGAACCTATGACCTTGTGCACGCTAAGCACGTGCTCTGCCACTGAGCCCCCCCCATACATTTTATGTATTTGTATTTCACTGACTCTAAGATGCACATTTTATTTTTACACTGGATGCATTTTATGACCAATGGCTTGTCATAGTTTACTCAGCAGTATTTTTGTGCCTTTTAGTGGGATCTAAAGTAATGGTGCCATGATGGTAATGATGGCATCTTAGATTTGATGAAGAATAGTATAGTGTGCAGGTAGGTAACAATGGGAAATACTAAAAGCAAGAAGCATTTTTTAATAAGCTGAAAGCTGTTCTATGGATGGTCTGCCCTTTCCTTCAGACACAAATTCCCTTACTTTCAACTCCAAACTTTTCAACTAATCATTAAAAATACACTTGAGCTGAAACTTAGGCCTTCTATCTACTGACCATTTTTATGTGTGTGACCACATTTTAGAGAACACTCTTCAGTGCTTCACAATATCCAGCGTTCATTTATCCTCCTTAAGCTGTGTGGGAGTAAAACTGGGATACTTTTTACCTGGAAGACAAGCTAAATAAAGAAGTTCTGAGGCATAAGCAGTATAAATGAACTTTTCAATCTTTTTGAGGTATAATGGCACAACAGTTTTAATACAACCACCAATCTTCACAAAATAATTTTAATACTTTGTGCCTGAGCTAGCAGCATTTGCACTGTGACATTCCTATACATACATAAGCATTTTATCCAAGTACAAATGTTAAAAGCAGAGTAACTTAAGCAGTTGCCTATACAAAGGTAAATAGACACTGTAGGTTGTTTTTCTTCTTGAATCATTTTTGCTGCATAGTAAATTGCAATTACATGTCAGTATAATGTTACTGATCCATAGAATACACTTTGAATTGTGAGGTATGGCAACTCCCTATGAGAGAGCTAACATGTAAACCTGAATATTTTGAGTGATTTTTTTAGCTGCCATGGATGGGTAAGACAAAAAGAATCCAGCATTCAAAGACCCTAGAAACTTATTTTTCTAATCAATAAAAAAAAAAAAACCTTTTAGTAACTTTCAGCTATTTCCTATCATTTCCTTTTTGGAGCACTGATGAATGGACAAAATAAATATTGAAATGAAGCTAAGTTTGTTATGAAATTATGGTTAAACAGTTATTTGGGAAAAAAAATCCGCCAGGTAACTGCTCATTTACTTTACATCAAGTTGAGATTTTGATATATATCTCTATATTTGCATCCCAACTTTATAATTCAAGATTGCAGTTAAATACTTCTAGGTCACTTGAATTACCATGGTAATAAGACAATTAGAAACCTTATATTTTCTTTAAAAGGACATGCTTAACATTTTATGACATTACTTCTAAACTCAGATGAAGCACAAAATCCTCCCAAAACAAATATTCTACTCAGAAAGTTAAGTGGTTGAGAGTTGGTAGCAAAAGCTATCACGGTTTAACCTTTCCAACATAGATACAAATAAGTGCTGTTTAAATATTTATAAGAAATTAACACAAACCAATGAAATAAAATTAGAGAGTTAAAATATTGCCATTCCAATCTGAATATTTTCAATATTTATGTTTCATTCAAAATGGACAATAAATAGTTTTTCTATATTTTGATGTGATGTCATTTTAAATTCTGTGCCCAGATTAATATTTAATGTTTAAAATTGGGTGCTACATCACACATACATTATTTGAATATTCTAGAAAACAAATCATGATTGGTTAACTATCACAAAACAACAGTGGAAATAAAGGAATTATGGAAATAGAGCCCGAAAGAAGAATAGGAAGAGCTACCAGAAGAACTAGCTCAACATTAGGTAGACGAATGGACCCAAGATAAAACAAACTTGCAGTGTTCTTATATGAAAGAAAGAACAAACATTTTGTCCATACTAATTAGTACTCAAGAAGATGACAATCCCTTTTTCTAGTGTTTGTGAGAGACAGTCTTTACTATACAGTGCTGGGCAGGCACTTCAGTGACAACATAAAAGTTACAGTGGTTAGAAAAAGTGGAAAATTACCAGCTATAAATAAATAAATAACCAAACTTGTATTCATGGCCAGACTACTGGAGAGGATATGTGTATTTAAGAAATTAATTTAAAAAAAATCTTAACTGCCTCATTTTTAAGACCTACATGTACTAGTATGAAGATCCTTTTAAGCAATTTTTGCTGAATGAAGCATCAAAGCTTAAGAGACTGCAAAAGAGACTTTGCTGATCTACCCAATAGTGATCTATATACAGGAAAGCTGTGTTATCTGGCACTTTACCAACTGGAATTTCAGAGCACTCAATGCAAATCTTGACTATACTAGACCACCACACCCAATGACCTAATCACACAACAGAATACGAGACCACATGGGATTAACAATATGCTGTTGTCAGGGTGGTAAAACAGTAGAAGGGAAGGGAAATCAGAAAAGGAATACCACCTGGGTCAACAGGAATTAACAATTAATAAAGCAATTTTGATTCACTTCCACTCTCCTGCTATGCTGGATTAAAAAAGCTTACACTGTATTATTAAATCTAAGGGAGGAAAGCAAAGTAGGTAACTTGGTGTAATAGGTTACCTTGCATAGTACCTATTGGTACTAAGGGAATGTATGGAAAACATTCCCATCAGTAGAGCACCTCCAGAGAGGACTGAGAAAAGTAAGATACAAAGAAGTTTTGTTTGTGCTACCCTAAGTCATCAACTATAAAAAGTTCAAAACACTCCTCTCCTCCCCAACATCATTCTTAAAATAGCAAAAGTTTTTCTTAGAACAGTTTTTATATGTATAAATAAAAACATGGAGAACCTAGGATCCATAAAGTGACTCTAATGCAAATTATGGGGGGAAATTTGGATTAACTCAGCGTAAAGATTACATTGTATTGATTACAATACTAATTTTTAATACACCAGACTCTTCCATAATCACTTTCTCCAATAACTGCATCCTCAAAGAAAAGCATCTAAGTCAGAACAAACTGACAGAATCATTAAGACAGTATAAAATGGAGTAAATGTTCCATATTCCAAATAGTTTTACTAAGGTTTCTTCAAGCCTTAAAGACTTTCAGTTTGAGCTAATTTATGTTTAAAAAAAAAAAAAACAGAAATTGCAGGAAGATGTTCAAAACTTACCACTGTTCTACATACTAATTTAGAGGTCATGAGGATTTATTTATTTTTTAAAATTTTTTCTAATGAGGCAAGGCACTTTTCTTTTTTGGGCTTTGTTTAGAAAAAAATAGTGCTACATTGGTCTATTATATTTACTATTTAGAACCATTTTGGACAAAGAAAAAACAGTCTACATAACTCTGAAATGAACAAACACAACATTTGGCTTTTAAGAATGTTAAAGGAAAGTCACTTGAAAGTTTAAAACTCCTTGTTTTTGAGCATCTGGTATTATAAAGCAAAATACCTTCCTTTGTTCATTAAACTTTTTTTCTGTAGAATAAAATTAGGAAGGTAATAGGAAAGGAAGCAATACTTGGATCATGTTAAAGTAAGGATAGTTGGCTAATGTCATGATTTAAAGATTATTAATAAGGGATCAAGAAGTTTAAAAAAATAAAAGGTAATTAAGCTATTGAATTATACTAAAAAAGAAATGTGGCAGATCCCTGCCTTTGTTAATGTTTCTGTAAGAGGCTCCATCATAAAACTGAACTGTAAAATTATTTTTAAATATGTAGAACACAAAATGAATTTTTAGCAAATGTTAGGAAATTCTTTTGTTATAAATTACCTAGATTTTATAAACAAATCCCCCCTAACTTGCATTTTGTTTAAAGTAATAACTTTATATCATACAAATAAATTTCAAGTATGAAAAGTGCGTTATTGCAATAATACCTCTTTGCGAGTCCAAAATTCTTGGTTTATAATAAAACTGTAAAGAATTAAAAAAAAAAAAAGGAGTAAAACCATCAGTGCCATCTATTGCAGAAGTCCAACCTCTTAAAATGTTGCTCAACAAGTTGCAGAGAAACACGTCTGGAAGCAACATATAACTGAAAAGAAACTACTTGTGTTTTTACCATTTTACATTATTACTGTCTCTAGTATTTTCTCCTTCCCAAATAGAAATTCACATCCTCTATAACGTAGCTCTTGAGTCAGCCATTCTGTGCAGTCGCCACTTGCATGTTTCCAAAATCATCTTCTTCTTCATGTGTTCTCTTCAAACTGCCTAAAAGTTATTGCATGAACATAACATATAATGGGAATACAAATAAACTCATTCATTAGAATGTTACAGCTAGCAAAAGCTTCATTTTTCATGAAGCGTTACCATATATATATGCAGTATGAAAATTCCATGACTTAATTTTTAGTAAACTTTCATAAATTCTTCTGTTATAAATTACCCAAATGACTTTTTATCTTTATGACAGCTTCCTCTTAAGAATTAAGTATGTCTTAGGTATTGCATATAATAAACATAAATTTTTTAAATCGTTTGAAAGTAGAATTTTAAAAGGGATAATGGGTACATAAATGTTTGGTTACCAAGTTTATGTTTTTTAGGCACCATAATCATGTAACCTAGGACATAAAATTTAAGAAATTATATTTGTACAATTTTATTTCATAGATGTAATTATATTCTTGCTTCCACAGATGCTGTCAAAAATATTTTCCCACTGAAACTGATTTTATTACCAACAAGTCTAGAGATGGGAGAAAGGAAAGCATGTAGCAGATACAGAAGGGATTTTCTTCTATCTACTCTTCATATCAGAGTCTGCTAGTACAGGAACTTCCCACATAGAATCAAAGCTATCCCTATATGCCTAATAGTTACAATCAAGAAATCTGAGTCTCAATGGAGGAAAATGAGAGAGCAGTTAAACAGGTAAAGGGTTTGGCTGTGTTATCTGCCTAACAATGGCATGACCTTATTAAACTTATGCCCTAAAGGTTGTGCTAAATCATGGTAATAATGTTAATACAGACAGAAGATTCCAGCAGCAAACTAAAGTTTCACTGTAAGATTAATAAAATAAGGAAAGACATATAGTACCAATGGAATAAATAAGAAAACATGCTATCCGAAGCCTAAGTACAGCGGCTGTAACAGTTTCAGATGAAGTGCTGCACCTGCGTTCTACTAAGGGAGGTAAAAAGACACAGTACCTAATGCAAGGCAGAAAGTGAGAACGTACAGATAAAGCTCTATGGATGTTCTGAGTAACTACAGACTGGAGGAAGAAAAGTTAATCATTGTGTTTTCTTGAGGAGATGACACATCTGAACCAAGTTTTTAAGGACAGAGAGACTGAATGTGATGCTATCTAGGTAGAGAATAGAAGACACACAGGAAACCATTAGTAGTTCAGTTTTCTGGAGTGCACATATAGAGGTATTATGAGAGATACAAATACAGATCAGAAGGGCCTTTAATTACTACCTGTGATGTTTTATGCATTTTCTTCAGTAGGAATTAAGCCAATAAAGGCTTTTATACAGGAAAAATAGCATTATTAGAACTATCTTTCATGAAAATAAGCCTGGCCACAATGTACAGAACAGATGAAATAGTAAGAGTTTGGATAAGAAGCCAACATGGATCTGAACTAGACCGAGATTAAATGTACTCTGAAAGAGGAAAGGAATTTTAGGTATCGAGAAAACAGACCCTCACATTTTGGAAAATGATTAGACAGAAGTTGCAAAGTAGAGTAGAGTCAATGACAACTAGGAAGTTGAGCCTGAGGGAAGAATATATAGTATTACCACTAAGGAAATGCAATGTAGTACTGGACTTGTGGTCAGATCACCAGTGTTTAACTTCCAGGTCCAACACTAACTAGTTATGTAACCTGTTCTTCCTATCTTAAAAGGCTGTTGGTTCAAATAAGACTGAAAGGAACTCTGAGAGAGAAAAACCATAAATAAATGAACTCCATGAATGCTCCAATAAAAAGAAAGGGGACAAATAAGAGTAACAAGGTCTTAGAGAAGCAAGGTATATGCTGAAAGGTTTTTGAGCATGCTTGGATCATTAACTTTGAAAATGGGAGAGGGGGCACTCTGAAACAGGGAAGGGAGAAAGGACTCAATTATTTATGGCAAGAGAAAAACTGAGGTAGCTTACATTAGTCACCTTGCTTTCATTTATTAACCACCTTTTATTTTTAATAAGATCACCAAGTGTATTTATAGGACCTCATCTCCAAACCCCTCTTATTATTTTAATTTTTGTAACAAATTTTTATACTACTTAAAGATTTAAAACTCAGTGAAGTAGAATTCTGATCTTCCAACCAGCATATTCTAATTAACTAGGTACAGTATGTATACACAGAAGCTCAGTATCATATACATTTAATTATAAAATTAAAAATTGAAATTATTTTAATTCAATACTCCACCGAAAGTTTTCTAAACAATTTAAATTGCTCAATGTAACCTGTAATGAGCAAAAGATGTTTCTTCTCTTCTACCCTTCATACCATCATCTTTCTCAACTTTCTCCAAAAAGAAAAAATCCTTACCTGTGGTACCAGAATGAACAGATAACGACCTTTCTATCTGAAGTGGCGACATCATCTGTATTGTTAATTTTGCTAAATAGATGGCTTCATATTCCTAAAAAAGATTTTAACTAACTTTAATATTCATTTAAATTCTTGGATACCCAAAACATTTAAAAAGTGATTAATGTGTATGTTACTGGTATTGTTATGTTAGTTTATACTGAAAAATCTGATGCCATATTGCTGTAAGAGAAATGCAGGCTTAAAATTCCCACCTCATAACTTTACATTTACTAATGAGCCTATAAATCAAGCCAATAGCTTACACTAGGGTATCACACACTGAACTGCCAGTCAGTATGTGTTCTCTGCCACTGGGGCATAAGCCATATGATCTCTGACTTCATCCTTTAAAACACACACATACCCTAAAAATCCCAAATGGCAATCTCATAAAATGATTATAAGAATAAGATAAAATATTTTAAAAATCAGATTACTATAAGGCATTTAATGGATTCAAGTTTATATTTGATCCTAATTTCTTAAAATCAATAATCCTCTACTTCCCAGTTACAGATGGAGTAATATAGGCATTTATGTCCCTCTCCCCTTTCTGGAAACAAGCAATGGAGAACTCCTTATTTGATGAAACTAGGAAACATCAATACCCCCGAATATGAGAAGAATGAAGAGAAAGAGAATTGTGATTAGGAAGGCTCATCAAGAGGGCTTTTGGGATCCTGGCAAAGGTTCAATTTCTTGACCTGGGTGGTAGTTACATGGATGTTTATTTATACTTAATGCATTTTTCTATATGTATATTATATTTCACAATAACATTTTTTTAAAAAATGGAACCAGACTAAGATATGCACAGAAGATGCCTAACTGCAGGTATCAGGCAGAGTCGGTACAGTTCAGAGTTCTCCAATAAAGGTGGCAGACCTAAGACAAACCTAAGAAGCCTTTGCATAGAATGATAATGTCAGGAAGTATGTGTGGGCTGTGGGAGGAGGCAGGGCATATTAAGGAAAATGTGAACATCCACGCTCTCCACTCACTGAGTAGAGAGAGTCATAGCACCAAGAAAAGTGTTAATGAGAAAGTCTCCCAAGACAGCTGGGAAAATTTAAGCTGCCTACCTTTCCCAACCACTCCTCTGGATCCTTTCCCACTTTCCTGTTGGGCAAATACAGCTGATCTAGGAAGAATATCTCCAGTTCAAAGGTGGCCAATAATCCAAAAGGAACCAAAGTAGATCTTATGTAAAGACATTTGCGGGGGGTGGGGGATGGGGCGATGTGATAACCAAAAGTCATATAAAGAATACTGCATAAAAATTACCCCATGAAGCAGGTAAAAATTAGTAATAGTTCTCCATGAAATCAATGAGAATATGGCATTTCTGAAATAAGTTCAAAGAAGAGATAAAAGGACTCATGGAAGAAACATGACAATGAAAGAGATGATACAACAACTATTAGAGCCCAACAAAAAACTGGAAGAGAGGACAGAAGCCCTACAGAAATAATGAATATAACAGAATCAACAAAGAGAATAGACCATACTGTGCAATTCTGGCACATTATCACCTACCCTTTTCTCCTGTATTGTTCCAAACAGCACATAAATATGCCATTTCCTACCATTTTAGAAAACAACCCTCCTCTTAATCCTAGTTTCCCCTCCAGCTACTGTTTCATTTCTGTTTTCTCCTAAGTATAATTCCTGGAATTACCTATTCTTACATTCACATTCCTCTCTCCATTTTCCCTTGAAATCTGAGCGATTATCCTTATCCTTCCCCTTTCATAAAAAACTGTTTCTCAAGGGCACCAATGACTTCACATTCCTAATCTAATGTCAATTCTCAGCCCTTATCTTATTTAACCTATTACCAGCTTTTGAAACAGAGGCTCATTCCCTACCCTTCGAACACCTTCACTTGACTTCCCAAACACCAGACCATCCTGATTTTCTTCCTATCTCATTGGTCACTCTTTTTAGTCTCCTGCTTATTCCTCATCTCCCCAACCTTTGCATGTTGAGAGTGCATTAAGGTTCTGTTTCTGAAATCTTTCTCTATCCACACTCACTTCTCTAGTGATCTCACCCAGTTTCAGGGCTTTCAATAGCATCTATATACTGATAAACCCTAGATAGACAGTTCTTTCTTATGAACTCCGGGCTTATATGTATACCTGCACATTGTCTAAAAGCTCTCTTAATCTTAACATGACCAAAATCGATTCGATCTTATTCCCTTCCAAACTTCATGCAGCTGGGGGCCTGGGCAAGGATATAGCTCAGTAGTAGAGTGCATGCTTAGCCGGTACAAGGTCCTGGATTCAACCCCCAGTACCTCTATTAAAAAACAAAAAACGAAACTTCACACAGTTTTCTCCCATACAAGTAAGTAGCAGTTCCTCTTCAAGTACAAGTAAGTAGCAGTTCAGGCTAAAATGCTTAGATTCCTCCTGATCTCTACATCCAATCCATCAGCAAATCCTGTTAGCTATACTGTCAAATAAATCCGGAATCTGATGTTTCTTCACCTCTTCTCCTGCTACCACTTTGGTCCAAACCAGTATTCTCTTTAAACTCCACCACTGCAATAGCCTCCTAACTCATGTATCGGCTTCACCCCTTAGCCCAACAACCCCTACAGTATGTACACAGTATATTATATTCAACACAACAGCCAGATGATCTGAAGTTATTCCTTCACTTAAAATAGAAGCCAAAGGCCTTACTTACAATGGCCTATAAAAGCCTACACATGTGGCCCCTTTCCTCTCAGTTCTAATCTCCTACTACTATTCCACTTGTTTACTCTGTTGCAGCCACACTGATCTTACACTTCCTTGAAAATATTATGCACACTTCCATCTCAAGGCACTTGCCTGTATTCCCTCTACCTAGAATGCTTTCCCCCAAATATCAGCATAGCTTGTTCTCTTAATTTCTCCAGGTCTTTGCTTAAATATCACTTCTTCAGTAAGGCCTTTCCTGATCACCTTTTAAAAATGCAATTCACGTTGCACCTCTCTCCCTTACTTTTCTCTGTGACCCATTACCACCTGATCTACTATATCTTACTTTGTTTATTGTCTAATTCTCTCATTAGAGTAAGTTTCATGAGGTCAGAGATTCGTCTCTTTTGTTCTCTGCTTTACTGCTACTGCCTAGAGCAGTTCAAAAAAATGTTTGTTGAAACAAAGCATGGAAAAGGGAAGAAAAGCCCTGAAAAATCAAATAAAAAGAGAAAAGAACAAGATAGGCAATAATTACAGAAAAAATGGCAGATACAGAAGACAAAGGGAACCAACATAAACTATGTCTCTGGGAGGAAAAAAAAGGCAAATGAAACAGAACAAAACAAAAGCCAAATACATAATGGAAGAAAATTTTCTGAAATAAGGGAAGGCTTGAATCTGTAAGTGGTAAGAGCACACTATGATTCAGAAAAAAACTGATACAGAGCAATCAATAAGATGTATCCTGATAAACCATCCCTTCTGATCCAGACAACACTTCTTCCTCCCAATCATGTCTTCTAAGGGGGAAAATTTTTTTTAATTAGGCTCCCCTCAGACTTCTTTGGAGCAATATTCAATGTCAGGTCTGTGTACAGGCCTATAAGGGAAAAAGCATTAAACAAAAATTTTATATCTAGCCAACTGTCATTCAAACAAAAGAGCAACAGAAAAATACTTTCCAACATGCCAGGATTTAGGGAATAGTGTTCAAGAACTCTTCTTTAAAATATGCTCAAAGACAAACTCCAGGAGTTGAATTAAGAAACTAGAATCCTATTTAAATACAGAACTAAGGATAAACAACTAGAAAATATGGTTGTAAGACAGAATGTATATATTATAATCTGTAACAATGTAGAAAAAGTATAATCTTTTTGAAAAAGGAGGTGACAGGACAAATAACAGAACGTAGTTTAAGCAGATGATCCTGTATTGGTCAATGCTATTTAAAACTGCAAAGCCCCAAGAGGTACAGTATTTAAATATTTTTAAAGGTATAAGAGGTGGCTTTCAGAAGAACTAAGAGTCGTAACAACAAAACAGGTAGTGGGGTGGGGGAAGAAGCAGAGGTATATAAATTTTTATCTTTTATAGAGCAAATCAACTGATAGTTATTTAAATGTGATAACTCAAGAAACATA